TCAGTCCTGTTCCAGAGGGCTCCAGGTGTTCTTACTGAGGCATGTGCAGCCTGGCACAATGGTGGGTTGCCTCATCTTTCGTTTCTTGAATGCTGAGAGTGGTTCCAAGGGCTGGGCCATTGGTCCAGGTATTGGTGTTGATGGTTTGGTCATTCAGAGGGAGCTATTTTTAGACCTACTGCCATTGTCTCTCAAGCACGCTTATTCATCCCCAGTCATTCAGGAGCCAAGTTACATAGGAGGGGTAGGTGTGAGTCATGGGTTACACAACCGAGCCTGGGGACAGGATGGAGACTTGACAAGCAAAATGGAAACTTGACATGACTTATGCTAACTTACATATGTAGGCCTAAATCATATAGTACCAGTAAAACAGTAATATAGAACAGTAAAAATCAATATAAACATAATAATTATACAATATAAAGAAGGAGAAAAACAAAACAAATACAACTTGCTACCAAAATAAAATGCTGAAGCTAATCCTATGCCTTAGCTCACTTATACTTATCTATAGGGAATAGAGAGGGAGAGAAAAAGTCAGAAATGGTTGGGGAAGGGGAGGGAATGCATTTTAAAATAAATAAAAAAAAGAAAAGCTGGGGGTTTTGCTACAGGTCTAGTTCAGCCATCCCTTTGTCTCTAGCAAACAACTTTTATTGTGGATAACCACAGGTCTGGTTATCTACTGTCTCCATCTGAAGTAGGCTCTGAACATGCTCTTGAGCATTTATCTGATATTTAATATTCCACTTCCATCCTGTATAGGATCAATTTCTGTGCTGCTGACCAAGGGTGTCTATGTAGATTTCTCCTGCTGCAATATTACAGTGGATGCTATCTCTGCAATGTTGAATCTTGACAGGGGAAGAGCTAGCAAGAGGGCCATCAATGAGGGGACAAATCCATTGGTCATCCATCAATAGCTAGCCAGTGGGACAGGTTTTTATGTAATTGAATGGGAGGAATGAGAATGGGCCCCAGAGGCAATGTAAAAGCATAGAGCCTCCAGTTGTATAACCGTAGTCTTGAATGGATCTTCTGGGTCCTGCACAGATCTCAAGGAGTTTCTAGGTTTTGCAAGCTGGCCCTCCTGCTTGCTCTACTTGGGGATCCATCCTCCCTTCTGAGAGCAAAAATGATCTAAGGAAAATCCCATGGCTTTGTTGAGCTATTGAAAACTATCTGTACTGAGACCTAGCTGAATCTAGCTCTTGTGATTTCTGTTTCTGACTGAAGCTGGTGTTTTCTGAGTGAAGAGATGTACAGGTGCCACTATAATATTGTGATTTAATAACAACAGTTCTGCTCCCCTCTGGTGCTAACAACGCTAATAACTTCTCTGCTGAGAAAATAAGCCTGGTACTTAATGTCTGGATGGGCTGGTGGGGATGTAATGTGTGATGCAGATATGTTTGAGGCTGGGATAATAGCTATCTACTCAAGACAGCGTTTCCTACATTTTGGAAGGGTGAACTATAATCCTAGCTATAATTGAAATTTTGCTGGAGCACGCTTACAGGTAAACTGCATAAATCAATAAATTATTGATTCATGCTCTGTTTATTTATCTTACGC